CTCCCGTTCGACGTTCTCTGAGAGTAATATAAGATAGCATGTGGTTGAGCAACATTGTTGTATAATCTCTGTCTGGTCAATGGTGCCAAAACAATTCTGGCAAGGAATAAGAAATTGTCAATTATACAAAGTAATGCAAGACAGAATGTGACTGGGTAACTTTATCCGTTTACCGTATGATCTCTATCTAGTCTAACAGTGATAACACAATTCTAAAGAAGAAAACCAAATAATAAACCATAAACACAAGCAACAAACATAGTTTGCTAACGCTCGTTTGGTAACAGTTTCGCTTTTTAGTTTTGTTTCTTAGTTAAAAAGGAAAAACGAAGGAGAAAGAAGGAATTAAGAAAACGAAGGAAAATGTGTGAAATAAAAAGCCGGTTGTTGCATGAAAATTTACAGTGATTCTTAAATTGGATTTGACCCACAATTTGTTTACCTTGTTAGCAAAGCAAACACGATCATTTTGTACTTTTTAGCATGGTAGATATCTATATATCACTCTCAATTGAATACAATATGAGTTTGATAGATATCTATATCTCACTCTTAACTTGTAAGTAAGAATTTTTAAATTCCAATCTCAAATTTGCAACCAACTTATTCCCAACCTTTACCAACCTTAATAACGTGAACATGTTGGAAAATATTAGTATTTAGGTTTACTTTAATGTTTTGTTTTCTGGGCTTAGCCCGTTAGCATTAGGGTTTAGGATTAGTTTATTATAAATAGAGTGCTTTGTTATTCATTAGATATCAAGCTATTCACAATGTAGTCTCTTAGGGTTTTGTAGCCGTTCCGGCATTCTAGTTTGTTTAATAATATTCTTATTAATTTGTAGTCTTATTCGTTGTGCACTCTGATATTCAACTTGGTATCAGAGCAGGTTTGATCTTTCGGGATTTAATCTGTTCTTCTTGATAGGTATCCATGTTGTTTGTTTGATAATAGTTTTCAGTGTTTGTTTTGAAAAGAAAAAAAATTTGATTATGTTTGCTCAGACGACCCACCAGAATCTGCCCCACTTCCGCTGCATCGTCACCCAGCCATCAGCCTTCGTACCAGGTCTGCAACTAGAAACCCAGCACATCTGTTGTTCGTATCCAACACCAGCCGCATCACCACACAGTTTCCTGCACTGCATCCGCACCCTTTGATCGGACCCGCACCACTTACACCTCCGCACCAGACCCATAAAATCGTCTACCCACCACTGACTGCGCTGCCTTCGCACCGTACCCGCATCCTCGCCGCCGCTTTGATCCGCACTTCATCGCCTCTGCTATCCCATCGCGTCAAGAATCCCAGAATTGAGATCCCATACTGCACTTGGATTTGTTTTCTCTGGAGAACACTGCCCAGATAGAAGAAGAGAATAAGGAAACAGAAGCCGAAAAATAGAAGAAGAAAAAATGAAAAAGAAAAGGAAAAGAAAGAAAAAGAAAAACCGTTGTCCAATACAAGAAAAAGTTATATTGTTTGTTGGAGAGGAAAGCATTCGAAAGGTCCCAGGAGAAAGAAAAAAAAAAGAAAAAAAAATTGCTGTTGGTTTAGGCCCACACGGGCAGAGATAAAAAAAGAAGTTATGGTTAAGTTTGTTTGAAGGCCCACACAAGTTGGTGGCGTTGTTCGTTTGTTGCTACAATTGAGATATGAAAATCTCGTCCGTTTAGTGACGGGTTCTTTCCATACTCTCAACTCTAGTCAGTCGGAACCACAATCAATTTGCCAGCAAGAATCAAGTCAAGTTTGCTAGTCAAGTCAAGTTCGCAAGTTCACCAGTTCGCAAGTCAAGTCAAGTCAAGTCAAGTTTGCATACCTGCCTGTCTGTCTGTCCGCGTTGCGGAGCCTGCCTGTCTGTCTGTCCGAGTTGCGGAGCCTGCTTGCCTGTCTGTTCGCGTTGCAGAGCCTGCCTGTCTGTCTGTCCGCCTAACGGAGTCAGTCCGCATCTGCTTGTTTGCAAACCCATGTCGTATACCGCCATGAGTTTGACGGGGGGTGTTGGAAAATATTAGTATTTAGGTTTACTTTAATGTTTTGTTTTCTGGGCTTAGCCCGTTAGCATTAGGGTTTAGGGTTAGTTTATTATAAATAGAGTGCTTTGTTATTCATTAGATATCAAGCTATTCACAATGTAGTCTCTTAGGGTTTTGTAGCCGTTCCAGCATTCTAGTTTGTTTAATGATATTCTTATTAATTTGTAGTCTTATTCGTTGTGCACTCTGATATTCAACTGAACAAACTTAGACCGTCGGATGAATCTGACGGGTGTTAAAGGAACCTCATATAAAAGCCCATCACTGTAGCCGCGCGCGCCCAGGTCCAGAACGCAAACCCTTTTCCCTCTCACTTCCTCGGTTCCTCCCGTCTTCCCATTTCCGAATTCTGATTGAGCTGCGTCTCTGTTCCGTCTGATTTCTATCATTTTCTCCATCTCTTCCCCTTCCGACTTCCGTCTTCAACCTTTATATACACGATTTCATGAGACTGAGCTTCTCTTCCTTTCCAGCATACACAGCTCGACATTCTGCTACCTCAGTCGTCTTCCTCGCGGCTGTGGGTGGTTGGGTGGTGGGTGGTTGAATCAGTTCAACGCCGTTTCAAAGGAAGTCGAACGATGGCATTATTCAGGTACGTCTCCTCGCAAAACCGAAAGTACCCACCTTTAGTTTTGTCTCTCTCTCGCTCTCTCTGCTCTGAAAGCGGCAGCTCAACCACCGCCGCCGACGTCGAGACTGTTTATCGCATACTCAGTTGCCCCACTGGTTCCAAAAACTTGAAACAGGCATTGAAATCGAGTGGGGTTTTTCTCTCCAATGATTTGATTGATAAGGTTCTCAAACGGGTTCGGTTCAGCCATGGAAACCCTTCACAGGCTTTGGAGTTTTTCAATTACACCGGCAACAGAAGAGGGTTTTACCACACTCAGTTTTCCTTGGACACAATGCTTTACATTCTAGGACGAAGTCGAATGTTCGACAAAACTTGGGAGGTCCTAGTTGACATTAAGTATAAGGATCGAAATTTGATAACCCCGCGCACTGTAATGGTTGTGTTAGCTAGAATCGCTAAGGTTTGCTCCGTTAGGCAAACCGTTGAGTCTTTTAGGAAGTTCAAGAAGCTCGTGCCTGAATTCGATACAATGTGTTTCAATTCCTTGTTGAGGACTCTTTGTCAGGAGAAGAGTATGGCGGATGCGAGGAATGTGTATCACAGTCTCAAGCAAAATTTTAAGCCCAATTGCAAACTTTCAATATATTGCTGTCCGGGTGGAAGACATCCGAGGAAGCTGAGGGGTTCTTTGAGGAGATGAGGGAGATGGGTGTGAAACCTGATGTCGTTTCCTACAATTGTTTGGTTGATGTTTATTGTAAGAATAGAGAAGTAGACAAGGCATTTAAGATTGTAGAGGAAATGCGAGAACAGGATATATCACCTGATGTGATCACCTATACTAGTATCATTGGTGGATTGGGGTTGGTTGGTCAGCCCGATAAAGCCAGAGATCTATTGAAGGAAATGACGGAGTATGGGTGCTACCCAGATGCTGCTGCATACAATGCGGCCATTAGGAATTTTTGCATCGCGAAGAGGCTTGGCGATGCTTATGGGTTGATGGATGCAATGGCGAGTAAGGGTTTGAGTCCGAATGCAACTACTTACAATTTGTTCTTCAGGGTTTTCTTCTGGTCAAATGACTTACAAGGCTCTTGGAGTTTGTATGGGAGAATGATGCATGCTGGGTGCTTACCAAGTACACAGTCTTGTATGTTCCTGATCAGGTTGTTTCAGAGACAGGAAAAGGTGGATATGGCATTGCGGCTGTGGAATGATATGATTGAGAAGGGTTTCGGTTCTTATATATTGGTATCTGATGTGCTGTTTGATTTGCTTTGTGATTTGGGAAAACTAGTGGAAGCAGAGAGGTGCTTCTTGCAGATGGTAGAAAAGGGGCAAAAGCCTAGTAGCGTTTCCTTCAGAAGGATCAAGGTGCTTATGGAACTGGCAAACAAGCATGAGGCCCTCAAGAACTTGACCGAGAAAATGGCAGTGTTCGGTGCTTCAATCCATCTTCCTGAGAATTCAAAGAGCTCAATGAATACTTCGCGTTTACAATCACATCCAATATAAAAGTATGTGGGTAACTAATCATGATTTGGGTTCGGTGTTATATTGATGCAGAAATGTTTCTGATTGATATATCAAAAAATGTGCTTTACATGATTGGGATACAGAGGCTTGCCATGGGAAGTAACAAGGGCTAAGAATGTGGATTAGGCATTCATACTTTTTTGTTTGCTTGGGCCTTGTCCAGGTACATTTGTGTAGTGTCTGTTATTCATTAGCTACTGTACGCAGAAGGTGGATTGTGAAGGTTTTTTTTTGTCTGAAAGGAGTAAAGTTGCCAGTTTATGCTGCAATTTTCTTACTTTGTAAAGAAGTCGCGCGCACAATGTTACCTGTCTGAAAAATAAGCCCTTTCATCCAATAGAGAATTGGTTTTTACAGAGATGCGACAGAGGGTCTAATAAATCCGCATCTGGATATATAACTTTTGTTTTTAGCCAAATGCAAACAAGTCCTTAAAATATATATGCCACAGATACAACCCAGGACCACCAAAACATCTTTTCTTTCAAGCCTAAAAAAGGCCAAAAACAGCCCTCTTTCTTTTGCAATGGGTGTACGATCATTTCTCCAGAAAAATCGTGACCCATATCATTACAAGGACGCAAGGTTGAAGAGAATCCTATTCCTATTTACGATGAAGATGATGCATAAAAAGCTTGGGCGGTGGAGGAGATGGATTAAATGATGTAGGTAATGATTTCTTATCAAACTGGAGTAGCTCCAGATGGTTTGATTTAGTTTAATTTTGAGTTTGGCTGCTGCATTCTGAAGTTGAAGTTGATCGAGGCTGAGCGGTTCAAGTTGGAACATTTCAGTGAATATTAATAGATCTTTGGACTATGTTTGTCCAGACAGGTGAGGATTTGATATTATTGCTGGTTCGGTTCTGTTTTGATGTTTTTTTTTCCCGCTGTTGCAGTTGCACTCATTAGGCTAGCAGCATTCATCAGTTTTAAGGGTTTGCTGTTGATTTTAAATTTTTCCACATTCACTCCTTAAATTTCAATTCTGTCAATTAGAGGATGATCTATGTAAATATTTAATTGGGTAAGTTGTCTACATTTTGGTCCATGATCTTATTAAAAAATTGAAAATTTGCAGTAAATATGTTAAGTTCTTATGATACTAGCTGTTAGAACTTAGAAGTACTGTAAGTCGTAGAGAAAATGGAAACTCTAGGCTTGTTGAAGAAGGTTTATCTGAAGTCCAGCTAGCTAGTCAATTAACATGCAGACAAAAAAAAATGGCGTTCCTGATGTCCCTAGCTAAAGTGAAATGGACTGTTTTATCATCTCGTGGCATATCCATTTCATTGTATACCCATTTGATCTTTTTGCTGATTTATTGTTAGAGATTCACATAGTTTTATTTCTGACTTTTGGGGTTGGTTTGGTTAAAAAGATTTGGTTTGTTTGCAGTTATTTAGAGGAGATGGGAAAGATGACAGTGGAAATGCCTTTGACTCCGGTAAGCCTTCCTTTCTCCCTCTCCAGTGTTTTCCCTTTATGGTGGAATGAGTTTCTTATCTTCTGCACACTTTGAAATTGTCCTTTTAACATGGAATTATTTTGTTCATGCTGTTTTTGCGGATAAGTATTGATTGAAATGCATGATTTGTCTTTTGGCCAATGATTTTGATTATGTAACTAGAGATTATGCCGTCATCCAGTTACTGGAAACTGAATTTTGTGGCATGCATCCCTTAACCTGCTGTCGCTTTTGCCCCGCCTGCCTTATGAATCCTAACCCCATATTGCTTTCATTACATATCCACCATCATCTTTGCCGCATAACAAGTATTTATCTTTCTGGTTTTTAGTTTGTCTATCACTAACTTGCCACAACTGGCAGATAACAGATCACTTCTCTGCTCAGATATATTCAATTTAGTGGACTGTCATCTTAAAATGATAGTTGAGTTTTTCATGCTTGTAATTCTTAATTTCCTCAAAATTAACTCAGTGAAACCTGCAATTTTCTGTGTCATAATGTAATTAACATGATTTAGTTGAAATCCTAACTTTGCTTATCCTACAAGTTTGTGTTCAAGAAAGTTAGCTTTATATGGCATTGGCATGAACAGAGGATGTGCCAAAATGATCGATCAAATATTTTTTTGTTTCCCATCCAAATGTTGAATTCTGAACTCTGATTTTGAAATTTGCATTCATATTGTCGAAGATATAAATTTGTACGTATATTTGACTCTATTCTTCTTCTTTGTCAGTAAGGAGTATGAAATCCAGGTTTAACAGAATCCTTCAAAGCTTTTCACCACCCATGTCCCTTGGGGGATATAGTAAGGACTAGCCGATTCTGGATGTTTAGGCACGAGCAGTTATTCCTACGGCATATGCAGCGGAATGCCAGAGGCACCTTCAGACGAAAGTATGAGGCATAGGAGATCTACATGTGAGCTGCCTGGTCCTCTGTCCCATTCGCTATGCGTCATTTTCTAAAACTGCTTTTCTGTGATGATTGAAGCAGTACAAAAGCTCAGTGAGACAACTTTCCGCGTGCCGAGGCACTTGTACCTGCATCCATTGGAAGCAGGCGAGACAGTACGTACTTAGAACCTGACAGAGCAAGCAATGCCCCGTGCCCTCCATGGATGGATGAGCGGCATCAGCCAACCGGTGATTTCCGTCTTCCTGAATTGGGAGAGCAAGGCTAGATGGGAAACTTGACCCCATATTAACATATAAATGTTTTTTTTTTTTTTTGGTTGCAAGTCTGTCGTTTAAATGTTGTGTCTTTTTTTTTTTTTTTTTTTTTTTTTGAATCCACTAGGGGGGTGGGCTTTAGCTTCAAGGGCTAGTAATAATATGATTCAAATTCGTTTTTGGCGATAATTGAACCTAAGACCTCTCTTACAAATGAAAAGGAATATCACTAGACCGTAGTACTAAGATGTTACATGTTGTATTTAAATTAAGGGAAAAAAAAAACCTCTTTCTATAATAATCCATTCAATTAATTAGGCTACAATAAAACCTCGATAATTTAATACTTGACAAATTAATTAAATAATATTTTTGATATAACGTGCTAAATTAGTAATTCACTAAGTTTATAAGATAATACATTATAGAGGATTTATAAAGGTTCCGAGTAAAAATCCTATCTAAGTCGAAGTTTGAAAACTTGTAGTATGTTGGAAATAAGAAATTAATGAGTAGAGAAGAGATCAATGCATTTTACCATTGTGCGTTGGCAAACCGTGATGGCTGAAATAGGTGAGCTGGGCTCAGGTATGAGGTTTGTGTTGATGTGAGAGAGGGTGGAGATAAATGAGAGACTTATTTCGGTTTCTAGAGAGAGGGGCTTCTGATTTTCTTGAGAGACATCTCTCATCTTTTAGAGAAATGAGAAAGAGACCTATGGTGCATTTACGTAACTGTAATCAAAATAGAGGAATTTGATTGAGGAGGAGTCAAAATCGGATTCTTGTTGAAGATGTTTTGGAATCGAAGTAAAATGAAACAAAATTCATATAAGTTGTTTACTAATTCACCTGAATTGGAATAGAAATTAATATGATTACTAAAATGCCCTTATTCCTTTTGTTTGATTTATTTCCCGTATTTTTTAATAATATTTTCATTAGTTATTTTTATTAATTTGATTAAAATCAAGGTTCTAAAAAACGCTAGGTGGCGAATTAGGGCCTAACGCCTATGCGGATTTAAGTAAATTTACAATATACTATGCAATTGCAGATTCAGCAAAAACCATTGTCATCATCTGCTTATCACCATATATGCAATTGTATATTCATACTCTCTCTCTCTCTCTCTCTCTCTCTCTCTCTCTCTCTCTCTCTCATAGACCATCGTCACACCTAGAGGATACGACAAGACGCACATCACCCAGATTTCCCAATGTCCGCCTGCTTCTAGGTAGGCTATCGTATTTTCCCAGGCCACCCAGATTGTCCAGCTTCCGTCTAGCCCGCCCAGTGACCGTTTAGCTTGCTTAGGCATTCGACTTACGCCGCTTAATAGCTTTGTCAATTTAGTAAACGATTTCGAGATAATCGTGGTGGAACATTGCCATCTAGCGCCTAAACGCCACCTAGGCCACGTTTTAGAACATTGATTAAAGTGAAGAGTTAAAATGGGAGAGAAAGGGAGTTATTTATATGCTGGAAATGGTGAGGCAGTGAGTCAAGCGAGCAGACTCTCATAATCACAATCCCTCGCTTTCATCTTCCCTATCAGAAGATAAAAAACTCATCCCTCCCCTTTCCCCCCTCGCTTTCATCTTTCCCACTCAACTTACCCCATCATCACCACCCTTCCTACCTGCCAAGTATTTCAATTTCAAGATTTTCTGGGTTTTAAGTGATTTCTTCACTGGATCTGTGGGTTTATTATCTAGTGATAAATTCTTGAATCCGATTTGGGGATTAGGTTTTGTGAGGCGGTGGCAGGGGAGTAAGGCATGGCTACACGGGGAGATGGAAGGTGTGGCGCAGGCGATGAAGGTGAAGCGCAGGAGCGATGGAAAAGAGTACTGAAGGTGAAGGGCATTTTAGGAAGAATAATTTGATTTCTGGATTTCATACAAGTATAATTTTTTGTAAGTGTCAATATGCACTTAGTTACAAGATATACAAGAAATTTACCTAAATCCGTCTAATTGTCCGCCTAGACCCCGCTTAGCCGCCTAGGCGTTAGGCGCTAGCCTACCGCCCGACTAGCGCCTAACGTTTTTTAGAACCTTGGGTGTAGTCAACTAGGATATTTAAAAAAATCCATTCAAATACATGGGTAATCAATTAAAGGATTTTAAAAGACTTTAGAATCCTGATGTAGTCAACTAGGATTTTAAAGAATTTTTATAGAGTCCATGCAAATCTATAGCTATTCAAAATTTCATAAATTTTGAAGGATTTCTTTCAATAAGAGATTTTGTAGGATTTGAGAAGGGATTTCTTTTCAACCCCCTCGCTGTTTCTCTCTCTCTTCTGCAACTCGATATTTCTTTCTCACTCGCTATTTTCTTCCAGACATAGAACCTGTCAATTGGATTTCCTTTCACGTTCTTCCGTCACCATCCCAGTTGAAAACGTGAATTTTTTTTAATTGTACAATATTTTTTGAATTTTTTTCCTTTATTTTGGACTATGTAATAGTATTTCTTGTAATGCTTTAATGGGAAGTGTTAATGTCTACTTGCAATTCTTGTAATGATTATGCATTCTATCTGAAGGTGTTAATATTTTACCTTGTTAATTGAACTTTTGGAAATTACTACTAAGAATCTTATTGCCAATTCAAGCTTTCTGCTCTTTTTCGTGTAATCATGTTAGTGTAAGGGTGCAAACATCTTCCAAAGCTTATTTATATTTGTATTTATATTGGTAGCTGTACTTAGACTGAACAACATATTATGAACTAATCAATTGTTGAGGAAAAATGGTTAATTTTGAGGCATTTGATTTAAGAAGCACTATTTGTTTTGGTTAGTTAAATTATTTTTCGTAAAGAAATCACAATTCAAGTGAGAAAGGGAAAAAACAAAGACATAATTGATTGGTTTATATTTCCATATCAATATATATGTTTATGTCTTTTTCAGATTATGCACTGAGAAAAAAATTTATGTTGTAGGAGTCAAAAAAGAAACCCATGAAAGAAATTCTTACAAATTCGTAGAAATATATATTAGAAACCCATAATAATCTGTCAAAATTCATATGGAATTGTAGAATCTATTAAAATCCTTTGAAATATGTCACTTAAAAAAATCCATTAAAATCCTCTGAAATCCAAATTAATTACACCCCCTAAAAATTCTCACTTAACACTTGTACAGTTTAGAACTTCGAATAGAAAAAAAGATTTTTCAGTGTGACCGGTACACAGAATGATACATCATGTGTCATTATATAAATAATAAGATATGTATGTTAAAAAGTTAATAACTTAAAAAATAAAATTTTTCACCGCTTCTATAAAATCATGTGATGTATCACTCGTGTGTTCCGATCATAATAAAAAAATTTCTCTAATTGTAAAAAGGAACATCTGTACGACAGCAAGTGACCCGTTACATTCATTAGGTTGGAGTGTTTGAAGTTTAGAAGGAAACAACGGAGAACATTCCCCGTCCACTTCCAAATTGCAGTTGAAAATTCAACGTTGTATTTGTATTTGTACTTTTACGACATCTTCACCGTCTTTGTTTTATTTGGGTTCCGCGAGAAACACGACAGACGACATGAATGGACTTCGGAGCCGCCATTGCCAACGATGTCTGCAGCTGCAAATCCTAGTTCTCCTCCTCTTGTCCATTAGCCTCCTATTCGATTTAGGTTCGGCAGACGAGCCCTCAACTCCCAAGAACGGAGACAAAGCTTCAAGTGGGTCGGCGGCCCTCAAGGCAGTGATTGTGCTGCTGGGAGTGGCGGCTGTCATCGGCTTCTGCGTCTTCTTGTTCAAGATATGGCAGAAGAAGAAGAGAGAAGAGCAACACGCCCGTCTTCTTAAGCTCTTTGAAGACGACGATGAACTCGAGGTTGAGCTTGGCATTAGGGATTGATGATTGATCCCAATGAACACAATCCACCCTCCAGGTTGGTTGGTTGGTTTGTAAATTTTACAATATATGATTGTGTGTTGTAGCGGCCTTGATCGTGTTTATTGGGTAATTAATCCATATTTTTCTTCTGTAATCTTCCTTTGATGCCTTTTTTTACATTTGCTTATATATGGAAAGGAAGATAATGTCACACAAATACAATGGCTAGTCTCAGATCTGGATTTGTCTGGTGAATTGCAGCGTTAAGTGACCGAAAGTCGAATATCTATCTGATCTTGATGTGTTTGACACCATTTCACTTGTATGTTTAACTCTCAAAGTGTAGATCTGTGGTATTAGCTGAACATGGTGAGTATTGAGCATCTTAAAGCATGCGAGACGAAGTTTTTATTTTTTCTGTCAACCTGCATTTGTGAAGAAGAATTCAGGATGTTTATTCCTAGGTTAGATAGATGTTGTATGAATAAAGGATAAAAGAACGTTTCGTGTGTCAAAAACATGTCAATGAAATAAGCAAGTCTAGGTCAGAATGTCAGGAATGGAGAATGTCTTGGATTGTGAGTCTTGGAATACAGAATCAAGGTAATTTTTCAATCTAAAGGTAACATATATGAAAATAAGCTGGTGAGGATCGATTCGGTTGTGTTCTACGTAGATAAATTGCTATCAAGAGTCTTTTTCTGAAATCGGAAGTAATAACAATATCAACTGGGGCTGAATGCGATAATGACCTCATAGACTGTTGTAATCTAGGTAAAGAAAAAGTCTCTAGTGGCAGCTACTGGTGATGTTTGGCATTATGAAATATCATGCAATGGAATATTTTTTTGAATTAAAGTTATTTCTTTCTCTTGTCAATTGTTTCGTATGTGATACTTAAGTTGCTTGTATGCTTTTTGCACTCTGGGATTTCAGGACCTGTTGATAGTCTCTTCCTAAGCCTTTCCTATTTTTTCCCTGTGTTTTAATTTTTCGAGCTGAAGTTACAACACAATCGTGTGTTTTAAACGATTTGGTTAGAGACCCTCATTGGGATGGAATTTTGAGAGGGATGGGAAGATATTTCTTGATTTATTGCCTTTAAAATCTGTGGTTCCGTAATCGTAGAGTGGTTTGCTTTTGGCATGTTGCATGCTGATGTTCTTTTGAAATGTCTTGTCCATTTATCTGGTCTACAATATGGCTACTGATAAACATGTGATGGTGAGTTGTTGTATATGTAGGGTTTGGGTTTGAGATTTAATATTACATTAGTTGCATCCTATTATCATTCAGAATATGAATGATCTGGTGACGAGAGATGTTATTATTGTAAGGTTTCATGAACCCCTAGATCATGTGGGAGAGATCATGATGTAATGATCTTGAGGGTAGCTAAATTTTGGTTTCAAGTGTTACTATTCGTCTCTCTGTGGGGTTTGATCACTGTTCTTTGGAGGGTAGTCATTCAGAGGTTGTTCGAGTAGATTTTCATTTCGTTAGAGAATCTCGACTGTTCATAATTTTATCAAGAGACGGCATGTTTTTGTAAACTGGTGTTGCTTGTGTAAGCAAGCAGGGGAATCAGTTAAACATCCTCTTTTACACTTGTATATAGATTCTATTCTAGCAGACCTTTTTATTGTGAGTGTCGAAAACATTTTACAATACCCAGAGACCTTTATCGTGAAGGTGTTTAGATTCTTGAGTGGGAGAACTGTGGTGAGTGAGAGTGTTAATATTGTTTTCAATTTAGAAGGAAACTGTACAGGGAATACATAGGTTGTTACAAAGTCCATCTTCTCGGGTTTGAGTGCATTACTGACCACAAAATTTCTTGGGGTAC